ACACAAGCAGGGGGAGTGGGAAAGGGAGAAGCAGGCCTCCCGCCGAGCAGGGAGCCCGATGTGGGACTCGATCCCGGGACCCCAGGATCATGACCCGAGCCGACGGCAGACGCTTAACGACTGAGCCACCCAGGCGCCCTACCTGGGCATTCTGATAAATTAATGAAGTAACCAGAAGCTGTGAAGCAGATAAAACTACTTTAGTACCGAGGAAAAATGTTCAGTTAGAGGCCTCTTCCATTTCAGATTCTGAAATGTAAAATGAGCATGTTAATACCACATAAAGAAGGCCATATACTAATATGGTTTAACATTAGTAGAATCTATATATTCTAATATATATATAAAACAAGGAGAATTAATATCTTCTACTTGCTTCATCTTCTTTTCAGTAAATGTATACATTAACTGAAGCATACTTGTGATCTTTGAAAAAAATTTCAAAGCTATTCAAATAAAAGTTAAGATGAAATAAAAAAAACATTCTTGCTGAGCTGGTTCATGGAAATTCAAATGGTACTTGGAAAAAGAGTGTTTTAAGAATTAAACTATTATGGAGAGTAATATCGATGGACCAAACACAGTATCTTATACCATGTCACAGACTATAACCATCTCTACCATATATACAGAGATTTTCTTTCTTTCTTTTTTTTTTTTTTCTTAAATACAGAGAAGGTTAAAGTGAACTCAGTGGTATGCTGGAGGCCAGTCCTACCAGCTTGCCACAGCTGACTGTGTACATCTCTTTCTAATTCCTCCTTCAGGGACTTTGGGTTGGCACCCTGAAATTGGCCAAGGCAGGAGAAATTATACCACAGAAACCAGCAAATGCTACACATGGAGAGCTCCTCATTCTCCCTTCCAGAGCCAGGGCTTAAACAATCACTAGCACATCACTAGATACCCTTTTCTTCCATACCTAGCCTTTCCTTCTTCTACTAATTTTTCTCATGGGGCAGGGTGGGGGTTCTACTAGCACTCTGAACCTTGCAATTCTTAGTTGTACAAGTCTGTCCCTTGCATTATAGGATATTTAGCATTTCTGGCTCTCATCCACCAAATGCCATTAGTACTCTCCCCTCACTGAGGCAACCAAAGAATACTCCCTACGCCCCACACATTCCAAACATCTCCAGGAGGGTAGCAACACCAGTGGTTGAGAACCAATGTTTTATAGCAACAGAAATGTAACCCAAAGTCATTTCCTATACTCACAGGAAGCTGAGTATGGCCATAGGCCTGCTTTGGCTAAAAGGGTATGAGTGGAGGTGATGGGAATTTCACTGTCCTCATGTATGTACTTTGGACTTTCCCCTCATTTGCATATTCATATCTATCCCATTTCTTATATCCACTTTATTTTCTTATATCCATTACTTTACTAATTTATCAGAATGCCCAGTTCTTATGTCCATTACAGAGTAATCCATGTTAAAAAACATATTGACTTATTTATAAGGTTCCCTACTAATGATCACTTAGGTTGTTTTAACTTGTTCATACAATGCTGTAACAAACAGCTTTGTTCATATTGTTATCTAATTAAGTATGCATCTATGAAGGTATGGAAAGTTACATAGAAATGGAATTGTTGGGTCAAAAAAATGTGCATTAAAATTGACCTCCAGGGGCGCCTGGGTGGCTCAGTCAGTTGAGTGCCTTCGGCACAGGTCCTGATCCCAGGGTCCTGGGAATGAGTCCCATTCTCAGCCCAGCATTGGGCTCCCTGCTCAGTGGGGAGCTTGCTTCTTCCTCTCCTCCCTGCTCATGCTCTCTCTTGCTCTCTCTCTCTCTCAAATAAATAAAATCTTAAAAAACAATTGACTTCCAGGGAGTCTGCATTAGTGTTCTCATAATTGGCATAGGTTTCCCTACCCTGTAAATAACACTGGATGCTATGTAATGTTAGATTTTGCCATCTGCTAGGTTAAAAGTAAAATCTGTTGTGATTTGTTTAAGTATAAGCTTGTACATTTTCCATGTTTATTAAGACTATTTGTATTTCTGTTGAGAACTATTTCTATCCATCACCTGTTCACATTTTTTTACTAATTTGTATATATTATTATTGAATGTATATATTGAAGAATTTGGTCTTTTTTTTTTTTTAAAGATTTTATTTATTTGACAGAGAAATAGAAGAGAGCACAAGTAGGCAGAGGGAGAGGGAGAAGCAGGCTCTCTGCTGAGCAGGGAGCCAGATGTGGGGCTCGATCCCAGGACCCCAGGATCATGACCTGAGCCGAAGGCAGCCGCTTAACCGACTAAGCCACCCAGGCACCCCTTAAAAGATTTATCTGAGAGAGAGAGAGAGTGAGAGAGCAAGAGTGGGGAGAGGGAGAAGTAGGCTCCTCGCTGAGCAGGGAGCCTGATGCGGGACTCAATCCTAGGACCCTGGAATCATGACCTGAGCTGAAGGCAGATGCTTATCTGACCAACCACCCAGGTGCCCCCGAATTTGGTCCTTTGTAAGACGTATTACAATTTTTCTTCCAGTTTGTTTTTTGGCTTGGTTTATAGTTTTGCCTATGTAGACATTTTACATTTTGGTGTGGTCAAATTGCTCCTTTGCATTAAACCTTTCCCAGTTCAAGATTACAGAAGATACTCACCTGGTGTTTTCTTATATTGCTTTCACAGCTTCATTTAAAAAACAAAAATAAAGCAAAAACTTTTTTTTTTGCCCACTGGAATTTACTCTAGTGAAACTTAATTTAGGGATACAGCTATAAACTGCCCCCCCCCAAACTGCTAGTCCCAATACAATTTCACAAAATAATCCAACCCCAACATTGATTAGATTTGCCATTGTTACCATGTGTTAAATTCAGCTTTCCCCCAACTCTTCAGGATGGCAGTTCACAAGAAGAATGCCATGAGGAGAGTTGCACTCTCACCATTTCTCCCTTATCAGGATAATACCACCACACAACCATAGCACAGACCCTATTGTTTTCCCATCCAAACAGTCAGAGGGGGCACAGAGCAGCACTGCTTTCCTGACTCTCTGGGCAGCTTTTCTCTTGTCAGGGAGGCAGCTGGTAGAACATCACCCCTCTAGATTCCAGATTTGCCCATGATGGCTAAGTGGCAATAAACATTTCCTTTATTTAAACAACCTCTTGTCCATTAACGATTTGTTTTTAAGTATACTGAAGGAATCTTTTATAACTTTTACTTTTTCTAGAGCAGAGTTTTTTGACGGTGGCACTAGTGGCATTTTAGGACACATAATTCTGTGATGTGGGGAACTATCTTGTGCACTATAGGATGTTTAGCAGCATCCCTAGCCTCTACCCACCAGATGTCAGTAGCTCCCTCCCCATTTTCTCTATTTTCTAGCTATGGTATTCATATAGGCAAGTTTTTTTTTCCTTCTTCAGAAGAGGTATTTTATTTTTGCTTTTTCTATTACACAAGATATACACATCAAGTGTTAAAAAGTCAATATATACACAATATATTCTACAACTGAGCACCACTAACTGAACATGCAGAGAAATTATACTAGACAACAGCACCCGACAGTATTTTGGGGAAATAAAATGACTAAAATAGATTTAAACTGACTAATACTATTAAATCACATCTAATATTGAATACAATGGAAATCAATACAGGTAAGTTAGGAAAAATGTGTTTATATCAAAGAATACAATCAAAATTAAGATAGCAAACAAAACCTATATAACTTTTTTTTAAACAGGAAAATACTTTATGTACATATGTAATTGTTCATTCTTTTAGAGAAAATCTGTTGCAAGCAAAATTATCAACCTTCAGAAAAAACATACAAAGAATTACCAAACACATTCCTAAAAGTATAAATATGAACATCTGGAAAATTCAGAACTTTAAAAATTTGTAGGCAATACATGAACTTCATATTTAAAAAACCCTGAAAATAAGTCCCATTTTTAGAACAGTTGTATAAAGAACGGTCTTTTGATGTGAGGTTCATAAATTATCCTCCTGTTGGGACCAAACTTTACAAAAACACCATGTATTTCAAATAGCATTACAGAACAAGATATAGCATCTTAACAATGTTATCTTATATAAAGGAATACTTTTTTTTTTAAATTTTACTTTTACTACTCTATCAAAACATGACCCTTAGATGTGTAGGAATCATTAAAAAAATAATTTCTTAGAAGCAATACACAAGAGAGGCATATTTATTTGCAATCACACTCCTAGAAGACACTTCACAAGTTTGAGAAGGGTCTGCTCTTCTTACTGGCTGTTTTTGTTCTTTGCGTGTGTTAGGATATGAGATTTCAGGTTAGTTGACTGAGCGAACTTCTTATTACAAGCATCAAAGGGGCACACGTAGGGCCTGTCTCCGGTATGGATTCGCACATGTGTACGCAAATTGAAATCCAGGGAGAAGCGTTTTCCGCAGCCTTCAAACGTGCACTGAAAGGGCTTCTCTCCAGTATGTACCAGTTGATGTCGTTTTAGTTTTGAGTTCTCGACAAAAGCTTTGCCACATTCTGCACATACGTGGACTCTAGGGCCGTGAGTGTGCAGATGTTTCCGCATAGCAGAGTTATCCCTGAACATCTTCACGCAGCCTTTATGAGGGCAAGCTATTGTTCTTGGAGCATCTTCTTTGGGTTTTCTTGGCTTCATTCTAGTAAATTCTGCCAGTTGTTTAGGATCTGAGAGATCAATACCAGGTATTCCTTCAGGAGGAAGCTTCTTCCCTGTCATGTACTCTGAATAATCAGAAGCTGAGTTCTCAATCTGTCCTGTCTCATGGTCTCTTTTCTCACTTGGGGACCACATGGTGACGGCGAACTCACCCTCCAGGGTTTTGATCTGCACCTGCTTCTGCTCCCACTTCTTGGGGCCCATCTTGGAGTTGCTACTTCCCGCCTGGGGCTCATTGGTGGTGTAATTTTTCTTACCGCTGGCCTTCCTGCTTCGGCTGCTGCGCTTCTTGCTGCGGCTGTAGGTTGATGATGATGTGGTAGCTGACAAGGAAGCCAGGGTCTGCTGGAAGCAGTCGTTTTCATCAACCGGAATGACCATCTGGTCCTCGAAACTGCTGTTGGCCTGCAGGTTGTCTGACTCGTTGCAGCCCACCACTTCCTCCTGTGTCTGCACCATGATTATTTCCTGGTTGTGGTCCCCTTGGTTCGGGTTGCTGGTAATAAGCGGCTGCAGCGCGATCAGAGGCGGATGGTAGTGGCCACCGTGTACCCAATTGCCGCTGATAATCTCATACTCCGTGATGGTTTCCATCGCCATAGCCTCCACAGGGATGGTCTCCACAGGGACGGCCGCCACAGGGACGGTCGCTACTGGGACGGTCTCCACATGGATCTGGTGCAGCTCCACGGTATCTGTAAGTACCTCCGAATTTTCTGTGGGGCTGTAGAGAGCGTCGTTTGAGGCCATGGCTGAGAGCTCCACAAAGGCTTTGGCTCCTGGGCAGCGGGTGGGCGACTGGAAGGCTGCGTTAAAGGCTGAGAGAAAAGCGAGAGCTCCAGAGGAAAGCGCGAGCGCCAGAGGAAGGTGTGGGCGGTTGAGCGGGAAGACGCAGAAGACTCGGAAGTCGCGGCCGAGGACGCCGAGAACACGGAAGACGCGAGGGCTTCTGGGAGCGCCAGGCGCATGCGCTTCCCACTACCTCAACAAGCGCATGCTTACGTTCACACTCACGCGCTCGTGGACGCTCCAGCCGTCATGCACACGTCACCCTCCCCTCCCCACTCCGAACGCCACACTATTGTTTTTTGAATGTTAATTCGGTAACTAGGTTTTTCACTGAATTTTTCTATATTTCTGTTGATTTTTCTCCTTTCCTTCCCCCACCAAAGTATATAACAGTATCTGGAAAAAAAGGCTTACTCCTAATATTTTTGCTTCTTTCTTCCGTCTTACTGTACTGACCCATATTTAGAGACCCATTTAATGGTATCAGTGATAATTGATAATGGGATTGCTTGTCTTATCCTTTAATAGGAATGCTTGTTAGTGTTATGCCATTAGGAAGTATCCAGCTATTTTTACTTCTACTAAGGAAATTTTTTGGTTTTTTAGCCATTAATGGATGTTGAATTTTGTTAAATACCCAGTCCAATATCTGCTAGATGAGGATTACTTTTCCCTAATGGTAAATAATGTTTACCACTTTCAAATACATTTCCTATTGTTGAACCATCCTCGCATTGTTTAGATACACCGTATGTAGAGTTTTTGGTACTTTACAAGATGTTGTATCAGTGTTATATTAGCCTAATTTTTTTTTTTTAATTTCTTCCATGCACTGTGGAAAGTTTATACTAAATTAGAATTAAAAAAACAACTTTCCTTCAAGATTGGAAAGAATTACACCTATGAAGCTTTCAGGGGCATTCTTCATCAACTTTTTAAATTTCTCCCATTGTAATTAGCCTATTTAGATTTTTTTTCTATCTTCTCTGGAGTTTATGCCATTTATATTTTTAATTAATTATCCAAGTTTTTGAAAATTTTTTGCAGAGATGAACAAAGAACACTTTTATAATTGTTTTAGTTTTTTCTGTATCGGTTGTCATTCTGTCTATACATGCTTTTTGCCATGTATAATCCTTTTTTTCTTCAAACCTCTCGGGCTTAAGGTTTTTTTTTTCCCTAATTTATAATTTTCTACCTACATCCTTATTACATTGCTTCTTAACTATTTTATAGTTCTTTTCTCACTTCTTCAGTTGAATGTTTAACTGACTTTCATTTCTTATTTCATAACTGTGTAAGACAGTGAATTTTCCTTTTAGCAAAACCTTACAACTTATGTCATTATCATTTTTAAATATACCACAATTATGTTTGGAACTGAATTGGTCAATTTTTATGTTTCATGGTCACTTGAAAGGAAACTGTCATGATATAGAGTTTGACATATTTATTGAATTTTACTTTACTAATTCGAGTTTTGATGATCTGACTTTTCATACTTACTTGCCATGTATTAAGAGATGAGATAAGCTTCCTTCATTACATTTTTGTTTTTTCCTTGCACTTGCATATTTTCCATTTTTGTTTTGATGGTTTGTTACTTGATGCAGTGAGTTCACAATGATTACATTCTCTCTGTGGATTACCCTCCTTATGATTATTAAGTCACCCCCTATGTCTAACTAACAATGTAGTCATATTTCCTGTTCACATTTCCATGGTATGTCCTGTTCATTTTACTTTCAACCTTTTAAAAATTGTTGTTTTTGAAGGCACTGGAATGTACATTATTTTGCTTTATTACTTTTTAAAAAAATATTTAAGTAATCTCTACACCCAACATAGGGCTCAAACTCACAAGCTCAAGAGTCGCATGCTCCTCAGACTCAGTCAGCCCGGAGCCCCTTGCTTTATTACTTTTAACTGAGAATCTTACAAACTGAATTTATCAACCAAAAGGTGAGATGTTTTCATTTGTGAAGTGAATGTTTTCCATAATGATACACATACAAATAAAGAAATTTAAGTTTGTTACCTGCACAGAATATCCTTAGCTGCTGGACTGGTGATATAAGTTGCAAGTGAGTGGTGAACAGATCAACAAATGCTCCAGGATAAATAACGAAGAGAAAAATCCCAAAGCCATTAAATCGAACTTGTTCCCTAAGAAATCACATAAGAAAAAGGAATTTACTACTAGTACTGCATTTTTCAAATTAATAATGTATTTTAAAACTTACCACTGTGATTTAAATTCTTGCTTAACAAGTCTCTCTGGACAGTAGAGAAAAATAAACTCATATGATGTATATTTATCTCATAATTTTACAATAGTGTACAGATTTGGTTGTCTATGAAATTTCATTATGTAAAACAAGGGCATTCTGAAATAGGCTTAAAGCTTCAAAACTTTTAGAAACCAATATGCTGAGCAAATAACTTGAAATTAGTCACATATATAAAGAAATGGTTAATATTTGTGAAAAACTAAATGAAAAACATTTTTATGGTTTACTCTGAATTATTTTCAGAGAAGGACACAAAAGAAAATATAATTCAAGTAGAGTATCTAAATATTTATATCTGTTTTAGCTATTATTCATAAAAGTAGAGGTTTATTTAAGTGTATTCCTGTTGAATTACTGTTAAAATAAGTATACTTAAATATGCATAAGGCTCAAATTGTCCTTAAGAGAACTACTTTTTATCAATTCATTCTCTAAAAATGGAATTACATATAATAGCCTCATAAGACCAGCTACTCTAAAAAAACCATTCCCCAAATATATTGTGCTGTCATTTAGTACTGAATATGACTGTAAAATTCACTTTCACTTGGCAGTTGGATTTTATAAAAGATTACCCATACTGTTTCACAAACGTACACTGAAGTATTAAACTGTTAATAACAATGATTTTATATGCAAAACCCTAAAAGCTGCAATGCTAAAAATAAGGAAGCAAAGGTGAGAGATTAAAAAAAAAAAGTAGCTGCCCACTTAAACCACTATATGTCACACTTGTGTAACAGCATATGCTCTGTCAAGATGAGGGTTTATCGGCAGTCAACAGACTCTTGTTCATAAGCAACTGGAAAGTAATAAGAAGTGATTACATCTTCTATAAAATCTTTTATCTGGTCCACATACTCAGAGGATAAAACACATTCCCATCAGTATGTGTGTTCACCATGGCAGTTAATTATCAGTGGGAGTGAAGGGGGCATTGTGCTCCCTTATCACAATTTTATAAGTTTAGGAGCCTTTAAAATGCTCAGGTGTAATTACAATGATACATTTGAGTAGTCAAGACAAGAACAGGGCATGATACTTAAAGCAAGTTCCAGATCTCATCCTCTCTTATCTTCTACTTGGGTTTCTAGATAGGCTATGATATTTGTTAACAAACCCAGAGCTTTCAATGTTCTTGCTCTAGCCAGCAGAGGCCATGAGTAGAAGCAGGAAAGTATTTCAGCCAATAAGTCAAACAAAGTACTAAGAAGGCAGGTGGGTGGTCTCCAAGTGTAGTGGTTATCATTCCGACCTAATAATGAATATAAAGATTAGGTTTCAGGGTTTGATGAAAATCTTGAAGCACCATGACGATATAACCAGGCTGGCAAAAGGCAAAGGGTAGAAGACCTAGATTACAGATATGCACATAGTTATTTGAGTATATTCATCAATATATTAATCATTATAAAAGAGAAGGTACCTCAAAATAATGTGGATATGCACTGGGCAATATCCACAGAAAGAAAAAACTATCAAATTTAGCAGATTTTAGTAATAAATGCTTCTAAGTAAAAAGTTTTTACATGTAGTAGAAAGAAAAATGTTACCTAATAGCTGCTATCCCATGTCCAATTTCATGTACAACACCACTAATGAGAACTGCAGCGAAGAAATAGGTCAGTTGGTTGACAGGTAAATTTATACCAGGAACCTGTTCACAGACACAATGATAAATACACACATGGGCACAAAGAAACCACGATGTTCGCTCCATGTTAAAGCTTAAACTTCCAGGCTGAAGGTTCTGGAAACTAAAAGTAGGGGTGCCTGGGTAGCTCAGTTGGTTAAGCATCTGACTCTTGGTTTCAGCTCAGGTCATGATCTCAGTGTCATGAGACTGAGTCCTGCCTTGAGCCCCGCTTCAGGTTCGGTGGTCAGCACTGAATCTGCTGGAGAATCCGCACCCCCCACGCCCCCCACTCCTGCTCATGTTCTCTCTTTCTCAAATAAAGAAATAAAATCTTTTTTAAAAAAAGTAAAAGTAATATGAATAGCAGTGGTTCACTTCTCTACTATATCACAATAAAAGTAAAAACATCAGTTTTTCTGAACTAGGCAGTTTTTGAACTAAGCACACCACCAATCTAAAGATAACAGTAAACACCAGGTTAAAAAGTCGAAACTTTGGGGCACCTGGGTGGCTCAGTCGGTTAAGCGTCTGCCTTCGGCTCAGGTCATGATCCCGGCATCCTGGGATCAAGCCCTGCATCGGGCTCCCTGCTCAGCTGGGAGCCTGCTTCTCCCTCTGCCCTTGCTCCTCCCCCCTGCTTATGTTCTCTCTATGTCAAATAAATAATAAAATCTTTTAAAAAAGTAAAAACTTTAGCTTCCTGAAGTATTCACCATGGGAAAGAATTAGGGAGCCTGGCAAAGTGTCAGGGAATGCGGAGTGACAGTGACAGAGTCAGCAACTGTTCTACCCTCAGGGGCTAGAAGCCTGATATGGAAATTCTTATTACAATTCCTAGTCCTTCCTCTGAATTGTTATTGCAAGGTTCCAAGTACTTAAGTGAGTAATATAGGATATTCCTGCCTCCCATCAATGAGTTTTCATTTTAATATTCTTGAGTTACATGAGCACTGGTAATTAAGAGTAGTGTAATCAAGTGCCTCATTGGTGTGGGAGTGGGAGCACCATGACCTCCATTTCTTTGATCCCATCAAATTTGTCTAGTACATTGGTCAGAAAAATAGTATCAAAATGATACATAAGTATTATATTAAAATTTAATGCAGGAAGTAAGTTCTTTGGAACATATAGACATATCAAGGACCTATGAAAAAGCAGAAGTTGTCTTGCAAGCACATGCTCCTATGATGATGTGCATTATCACTGCATACACAAAGCAAGTTTGCTATTGTCAGGGCTGCATGGTATAGTTTTTTAGATACCCAAGAATCGCCTTGTAAGATAATCATTCCCAAGTTCTGTCATCTGTTAAGGAGAAATTCCATAAATTAGGTTAAGTGGGGCACACATCATTAATATTATTTACATACTGAGCATCTATTTCTCATAGTCCAGGAGTTGGACCCTAAAAGTATCCTTCTAGAGGAAATTCCTCCTCTGTCTTATTATTACTTTAATTATAAACTGGAAAACTCAGAGAAACAGAAGCCTATAATCCTGATCCCAAAACACAAAACAAAAAACCATTCTCAATGTTTTATGTCCTTCTAGTCTTTTCATATACATATATTTTTTAAAAATTATACTTTTATTATAAATATGGTTTTGAAACCTGCCCCTTTCACTTAATGGTATCATAAACATTTTTCCATGAGTGTTTTCTGGCTCAACATGATTTTTAATACCTGTATTGCATTCTATAAAATAGACTGTTAGGCATATAATTGTTTAAAAAGTTTCTCCTCTTATAAATACTGTGATAAACCCATTTGGACACATATATTCAAATATTTTGGGGGAATAAATTCTTAGACAAGCATGGTTGGTTCTGGCTCTTTGACATTCTGGATCCATCTCTAACTAGCTAAAGTGACCTCAAGGAAGTTTGGATTATTCCCCCCAACATTGCAATTTCCTCACTATTAAAATGGAAATAACCACATTTACATAAAAGGGTAATTTTGAGGATTAAATAAGATAATCCTTGTCCCATGTTTAATATTATGCTTCATGGAGAGTAATAAATGCTATCATTACACAAAATTTAAAGGACTTTGATACATATCAAACTGTTCTCCAGAAGCAGACCCTTCCATAACCTTGGGCAAAGTAATATTATTCAAATATTTCAAATCTGCAATTTGAGGGAAATAAAAAGTTTCTCACTGTTTGATTTATATTTCTTTGATGATTATTTTTTATTTTTATTTTTTTAAAGATTTTATTTATTTGACAGAGTGAGACACAGCGAGAGAGGGAACACAAGCAGGGGGAGAGGCAGAGGGAGAAGCAGACTCCCCACTGAGCAGGGAGCCCGATGCGGGGCTCAATCCCATGACCCTGGGATCATTACCTGAGCCAAAGGCAGATGCTTAATGACTGAGCCACCCAGGCGCCCCTCTTTGATGATTATTAAAGCTCAATTTTTTTCCCCTACTTCTGACCATTGATAGGTCTTTTGTGAGTAGTCTACTCATGACTTGTCTATTTTTTTCTCCTAGAGTGTTCTTTTGTTCTTATTGCTCTAGAAGATCACTTCGAATATCAACGATCAGTCCTCTGTAATACATATCACAGATGTATTCCCAAGTTCTTTTGCTTTTTAATTTTATTTTACTTTTAGTTTTTTGATATATAAAAATTTTTGTCATCAAAGCTATCAATATTCATGGTTTGTGCCTTTAGTGTTATGCTTATGTCATCCTAATTCTGTGTTCATATAGCAGAAACCCGTTTTTTATCTTTCAAGGTCTCATGATTTTGTGTTTCAATTTTAATTCAATTGGAATTTATTTTTGTGCACAGAGGAATTTCACTTTTAAGTCTCCTTTAGTAACTGAAGAGGAGATTCAAACCATGTTGCAGGGATCACTTTCTAAATTCATAAATTGCAAGTGTCTTTCCTTAGTTATGAAACTAGTTTTCATAATCTTCATTTTTAATGTATGCATAATATTTCCCTGTATGACAATCCCATAACTTAAGCATTCCTCAATTACACATTGTGATTGTTTCTAATTCTTCGTAATAATAAATAATGTTAGGAGAAGAATTTGATGAATACTTTTTTTCCATATTTGGAAGTGTTTCCTTAAAACTAGAGTCCTAGATGTGTAAATAAATGGTCAAAATGTATGAATATTTTTATGATGCTCATTATCTGAAGTTCTCTTTACTCAGCCCCTACTAAGCAACTCTTTCTAAGAATAGCAGGATGGGGTGCCTGGGTGGCTCAGTCGTTAAGCGGCTGCCTTTGGCTCAGGTCATGATCCCGGGGTCCTGGGATCAAGCCCCGCATCGGGCTCTCTGCTCCACGGGAAGCCTGCTTCTCCTTCTCTCACTCTCCCTGCTTGTGTCCCTGCTCTCGCTCTCTCTGTCAAATAAATAAGTAAAATCTTAAAAAAAAAAAAAATATCAGGGTACGCTCTTCTACATACCTGCTCTGTTTCCATGTTGTTAGGGGTCTGCCTGTTCAGATCACTAGTTTCCTTTTCTCTGACCCCTCTTCTAAGTTTACGTACTTAAGATTAATTCTTATACACACTCTCTCTACAAGTATCCATCTTATTTTACCTTTATTTCAAATACATCAGTAGGCTTGATTCAATAGGACATTGGTTCCCTTGCTTTATTATTATTTTTAAAAGATTTTATTTGAGAGTGTGCGTGCGCATGCACATGCACGCATCCAAGAGAGAGAGAGCATCAGCAGGAGGGGGGGAGAGGGAGAGAGAGAATCTCAAGCAGACTCCATGCTGAGTACACAGCCCAACACAGGGCTTGATCTCATAACCCTGATATCATGACCTGAGCTGAAATCAAGAGTTGGATGCTTAACCAACTGAGCCATCCAGGTGCCCCTTTTGCTTTATTATTTTACGGATGTAATGATGAGATAAGGTAAGGATTTGAGTATGTGACTATACTAACAGATGGTAGGTCTTATTTGCTGGCAACAGTATGTGACTGCCCATCTGTCTTGGCCATGATCACACAGGGTATTAGATGTACCAGAATTCTGATCTCTCAATGACACAGAGTGCCAGGTTTTTGGGAATTAATACTGAATGAGGCTGTAGGAATTATAATGTAAATAGAAAGTACGTTCTCTGAGCTACAAGAACCCATATCAAAGCCAGAAGACATAACATTCTTAAATGTACACATAAATATGCACAGTGGACTACAGAGGACAGCTTTTTCATGGTTCTGAAGCATGACTCTCCTAACAGTCAATATTTTTGTGAACTCTTTGAATAAACTGAGAAGCAGAAAGAAGAAATAATAATAACACTTTGCCATTCTAATCCTAGCAGGCAGACAGGTGAATGATCACATTTCCTCCCAACCTGCTTCTTTTTCTACTATCTCTTCTTTAGCATACAATAACCAATTGTGTAGCCTGAGAGTTTGGGATGACTCCAGCCTTAATGAGCCAGCCAGATACCCCCGGAAAAAAAACCTTTTTAGAATGGTCTTTTCATAATCCAGACCCTATCTCTATTTCCCATCTTATCTCCTGTACCATATACCATATGCCAATATACCCACCTAGACACAGGTGAAAGTTACTTTATAGTTCCTTGAAGAATTACTGGTCTTTCTTTAGGGAGTAGAGCATAATGGCTCTGAGGTCAGTGGTGGGTGAACACTGGGCCCACCATATACAAGCTGTGACTACAAGCAAGTGGGTTAACATCTCCCTTCCTTGGTTTTCTCATCTGTGATGAGATACTTATCTCTAGATTGTTGCAAGAATAAAATAAAATGGGCACAAAAACCTCACACAGGAAGCACTGTTATTATTACTCTATTATTCCCCCCTCCCTAAAGGGGAACACTTTACATAGGGTTAAAATGCAATTTATTTATACGGTATAGAGATCTTTAATAGGCAAATATGGTTCTCTCTGTTACTGGGATGCTCAACTGCCATCTTTCCTTAGAGGCTATGGGGAGTCTCCTCACCCTTCCCTTGAAGCTCTCCTCTCCTCTCTTCCCAGGGCCAGGGACATCTCAGCATGCCTCTTCTCTGTGCCATAGTACCTGGTACTCTGTCCAATTGTAGCACAATCACAGCAGCTCTCCCTCTAGACTGAAAGCTCCATGAGTGCTAGGATTGGATTTTGTTCCCCATATAAGCAGGATTCAGCATAGGGCCAGTAGGCAGAATACATTTAGTAAATGTTGAAGAAATAAATCATCTCTTCTGAGGCCTCACCTGGCGAATCCTTTGAACCTCTAAAAAAGAGCTATGACCATAGGAGAGATTCATTATCATTCTCTACAAATGACTTCTAAATCTATCCATAGTGGCCCAGCCTAGTAGAAACCACAAAAAGAAGAGTTAAAAAAAAAAATCAGTAACTAGCTCTTAAATAGTCTATTCCATTAATAAGAGCACGATTAAGAACATAACACCCATGACTCATGGAAATAAAAACAATACATGTAAAAAATTTGAAATAAAAGTTAGTCAATGGTAAAGCACCCTTCCGCACTCTGGAGACATGCATCAATAAGATATAGGTTTATACATGTGCTTTCAAGTGAGAATTATTATAAATAGCTTATAAAGGAGTAAAGGAGTAAAACTCAGCACATTATTCTTCACATCAGGAAATCACAGTGATTACTGAAGGTCTTATATCTTTAAATAAAAGGATATTATTGCTTAGAGTCTGAAAGCCATGAAGAGGAAAGGGGAACACTTTACACAGGGTTAAAATGCAATTTATTTATACAGTATAGAGATCTTAAATAGGTCACCTCATTCCTTGATAGAAACAATCATTTAACACCTCGAGAAGACAACATGAATTGAATCAAGTATCTGTATAACTGTTGACAATCTTGATGGTGGTGCATTTGTTCTATTAGTACTGCTGCAACTACATATTGCAACAAATCTTTGCTAGATTCCCATTAATATTTTTGTTTAAGCAGGTAATTTGAGAAATGAGACTTTTCATCTATTTCCATATTTATAATATGGAGAGGAGTTATGCTAGCCAGAAGAAATACCTTATATTCATGTTGCAATAAACTTAAAAAGCAAAAAGAAGGTACTTACCACAACTTGTAGCACTTGCTCATTGTGAAGTGAGGAGGAGGAGGAAGAGGAGGAAGAGGAAGATGATGAAGAGGAAGAAGCAGAGGAAGAGGAGGAAGAGGAAGATGATGAAGAGGAAGAAGCAGAGGAAGAGGAGGAAGAGGAAGATGATGAAGAGGAAGAAGCAGAGGAAGAGGAGGAAGAGGAAGAGGAAGAAGAGGAGGAAGAATAAGAAGAGGGAGAGTCAGCCATCATCTGTGCCAAAGTCTGCATTAGCGTTTTCCCGAGGAGGAAAAAAGAGCTGAACATGGCAATTACGCCAAACACCATTCCAAAATTGAACCTGTCGGGAGGAAACAAAATCACATAAACACACAATTCCTTACAATTCGTGGGTTAACAAATTCATCGACCAGCCACATTTCATAGCTTCAAAATAATGGCTAAAAATTTCACTACTTCTGGGGCGCCTGGGTGGCTCAGTCGGTTAAGCGACTGCCTTCGGCTCAGGTCATGATCCTGGAGTCCCGGGATCGAGTCCCGCATCGGGCTCCCTGCTCGACAGGGAGTCTGCTTCTCCCTCTCCCACTCCCCCTGCTTGTGTTCCCTCTCTCGCTGTGTCTTTCTCTGTCAAATAAAATCTTTAAAAAAAAAAAATTTTTTTTCACTACTTCTGCCTTGTTTTCCTACCTGAACTTCAGGTATGTGACTGAAGCACAGGCACTGATCTCTCTAAGCAGCTGTAATAGTTTATAATTCTCTCATAGATGAAGAGGCTGAATACTGTTCCCAATAAAAAGTTTCTTTCCTCTCATGTCTTTTGCCCATTTACATAGAATTGTTTTGATCTCGTTCTCATATAATTACAAAAGCCCTTTTGACATTATAGACATCCATTTCTTTTTTCCCCTACCAATTCTTTTGTTTGCATTTTATTTTAGCTATATTTTGTGATGAGCTTAAATATTAACATGGTAAACTTTAACAACAGTTTCCTTCTACTGTTTTAATAATTACAAATTACCCTTCTATAGTTGGGAATAATCTATTACATTTTCTAACTTTTTTTTAAAAAAGATTTTATTTATTTATTTGCCAGAGAGAGAGAGAGAGAGAGCGCAGAAGCAGGAGGAGCAGCAGAGGGAGAGGGAGAAGCAGGCTCCCCGCTGAGCAGGGAGCCGATGCGGCACTCGATCCCAGGACTCCGGGATCATGAGCTGAGCCGAAGGCAGGTGCCCAACCAACTGAGCCACCTTGGCGCCCCATATTTTCTAACTTTTTATAAGTTGTGTTTTTCAAGGAACTTGTCTGTTTCATCTAAATTGTCAAATGTATAGGCATAGAATTGTTCACAATAGTTTCATTTTTTAAAAACATCTATGGAATAGGCAGTAATGTTCCTTTTTCTCAATTCTGATTTTTTTAAATTGAAGTACAATTAACATATTAGTTTCAGATATACAACATAGCGATTCTATACATTATTCGATACTCACCATGCTAAGTGTAGTCATCATACAATATCATTACAGTATTATTGACTATATTCCCTATGCTGTACTTTTCATCTCTGTGACTTATTTTGTAACTGAAAATTTGTACCTCTTAATCCCCTTTACTTATTTTACCCATACCCCTGCCTACCTCCTGTCCGGCAACTAACAGTTTGTTCTCTGCATTAAGACTCTGCTTAGTTTTTGTTTGGCTGTTCATTTGTTTTGTTTTTACATATAAGTGGAATCATACAGTATTTGTCTGGCCCTGTCTAATTTATTTCACTTATAATAATACCCTCTAGGTCCATCCATGTTGTTGCAAATGGCAAGATCTCATTCTTTTTTATGGCTAATATTCCATTATGTATATATACCACACCCTCTTTATCCATTCATCTTTCTTTTTTTTTTTTTTTTAAAGA